ATATATATATATATATATATATATATATACATTTTACAAGAGCACTTGCTTTTTATTGATAATGGAAAGGAAATAATACATCAATCAAAATAAAACAGACGAAATTACTAATGATTTTAGATTACCCCTTTCTTCGCCAACCCATCTGCAATCTCATTTGCCTCCCTATATATATGATGAAAAGTAACTACCACCGAAGAAAATGATTCCCTCACTTGTAACCACATGGATCTAAGTTGCCAAGGAGGTTCTGAAACATAAGAATGCCAATTGATAATATGAAGGGATTCTCCTTCAATAATCAAATTATTCCCCAAATCTCTTTCTTTCCAAATCAAGATTCCTTGCAATAGAGCAGCCAATTCAACATGATTTACCGACACAACTCCATACGGTTCACCATAACAAAATAAAATTGACCCCAAACTATCTTTGCATACTCCACCCACTCTCGCATTCCTTGGATTTGAACCAGCAAAATTAAGCTTCAAACATCCTTCTATAGGTGGCATCCATCTAGATTTTGGTCTAATCTTTTGATAGTGAAAAGAAATAGGATTTTCCAAATAAAGCAAAATATCAATCTTCGAAATCCTGTGGCCTTCCACACTGAACCAACTCCAGATGGTATGCAAAATTTTATTTTTTATCTCTTCAATCTCTCCGACAAACCATCAAACGTTCTTCTGCTCCTTTCTAACCATAGCTCCCATATAATAGCTCATCTGAAAATATCCAAAATCGTACCCTACTTTTAAAAATCTTGCTGGTTTAAGATGCTGCAATAAATTGGACGAAGGCCCTGCATAACTATCATCACCCCAATTTTTTGCATCACCCATTGCGATGTGTGATAAGAGAGGGGACACAAGAAGAAAATACGTGCACAATTTTCTTCACCATTTTTACAAAAAAGACAAACAATGACTAGAACCTTCTTCTTCTTTCTTAGATTATCAAATTGTAGGAGCCTTACCCTGAATCATTACCCATATGAATGCTTGCACTTTAAGAGGTATACTCCATCTCCAAATGTCCTTAAGTTCTGGTTGATTCCATCTAATGTGATCATGAAAAGGCAAGGAATAAGCTGATTTTTTCGAGAACATAGCATCAGGTCCAAGTTCCTATATTGCCTCATCTCTTGCCGCATTTGAAATATGCACATTAGCTACCAACTTAAGCAACTCAGATAGTTGGTTATACACCAAAGCAAGAACCTAGTTATGTTGACAAATAATATTTCAACAGACAGAAACACCATTCAACTCACCTATTTCCCTCACCTTAGCCATCGGATTTGAGCATCTTTGAAATAAATCAAGTCAGGAAAATGTCAGCACCACCTCAGAGATCCATTTTTTATGCTAGAAAAGGACATCCTCACCTGTACCCACAGACCATCTAATATGTCTCATCATAAAAGATCACACAGAGATGATCGACGTCCAAGCATGAGATTGTCTCAACCTACTTCTTCCCCCTGGCAATAAACTGATTGAACGGCCTCCCTCCATATTTGGCAATCAATATCTGCTTCTAGAGATAATCCTCTTGATTTAAAGATCACCACTAGCAATTAAGACATGGTTCATAATCTAGCTTTCAAATGCCCAAACCACCCTCCCTTTTTAGTGTACCCCTCGCCCAGCTCACTAAATGATATTTTTCTTTTTTTCACCAACTGTTCCGCATAGAAAGTTCTGCATTAATTGTTCGATTTTTTTGATAATATCTGAGGGCTGACATTTGATGTATGGGAAGATTAGAGAGAAGATCTAATAAGCGTGATTCTTCCACCCAGAGATAAATTATTTACCTTCTATAAATCTATCTTCCCATTATCTCTCTTCACAATTGGGTCCAACACCTCATTTGGTAATCTTGAATCTGAAATTGACATACCTAAATATATAATTGAAAAGGATTCCACTCTACAATTCATAATCCCAACCATTTGATTAGCCAAAGATGCATCACAACGAACCCCAATAATTGAAGTTTTGCCAAAGTTAACTTTTAAGCCCAGAGCCAATTCACAACATCTAAAAAATCTGTTGATATGTAGTACTTGATCAGAATGCGCACCACATAAAATAATTATATCATCAACATATTAAAATTGAAAAATAATTGGGACCTCCAAGGAGACTTGAAAACCTAAAAAACCATTACCTGGCCTCCACATTTTTTAACATAAGACTGAAAGCTTCCCCCGCAAGAGTAAATAAGAAAGGAGATAGAGGATCTCCTTGCCTAATATCCTTTGATGTATTAAAGAAACCCTTTGGATTCCCATTCATCAGTATAGAAAAGTGGTCTGATGACAAACACTCATTGATCCACTTCCTCCACATATCCCCAAAACCCATACGCTGCAAATTCTCATCCAACACCTTTCATTAAATTTATTTTATATATGTAAAATCTGAGATGTTTCATTTAAAGGTGCTTTTCCCTCACATCCCTTCGCATCCTCTTAGAAGGAGGGATAATGAGGGAAAATCACCTCTACATCAAACACTGTAGATTTTTATATACATCATTACCTATGCACAAAATTATATTTAATCCATTTGATATAAGGATACAATTTGATCCATATGTTCTAAGTAAAGCATGACCATAAGGTTTACCACTCTTCAATTCATTGGTTTAGTGATGTGGACAAGCTAAGCTAGCTGACAAGCTTGCTCGGCTTGGCTTGTGATGTGCGGAAAAAATAAATTTATAAAAAAATAGAAATAAAAATAAATGGTTGAGAGAATATACTTTCTTTGGGTCTGCATACAAATTCATTCCAAAGATATTTTTACAAGATCATAACACTTTCTTTATTTTCAAATAACCTTATTCTATAAGAGGAATGCACTACTTTTTATAAATGCAATTTAAAAAAAACTTATAAAAAAATCTCATAAACCCATAAACCAGGAATCTTTTAAAATTTCCATAAATCTTATTCTCTATTTCTCAATGTCACACAAATCTCTCCCTAATAGAAGTTCCCATAAACCATGAATCTTTTTAAATTCTAAGGTATGCTAAACAACCCAATCATGCTCATCCTTATCATTAGATTTTTAAACAAATTTCTCATTCTACGTCTGAAATCTCAACAACAATAAAAGATAAAAAGAAACCTAAACCTAGACTTAAAAATCTAATAAAAGTAAAATAAAAATAAAATAATAAAAAATAAAAAAATAAAAAAAATATTGCATTATTTTCACTAGATTGGAAAAAGCTCGATCTCGAGTTTGTTAAACTCAAATGTTTTAGAGGCATTATAAAAAGTTGGTGATGTAGAGGAATTTTGAATTACCAAACTGAATCCTGAATTCTCTTTCAAGCTCACAAGGTTGGATTTCACATACTGCAAGGAGCATGACTTCTTTCTCATAAATTATTTTCAAAATTTCTTGCATGTTTGTGTTGTCGTCAACATCTTTTGCATTGAAATCTATCTTTCAACATTCTTCTTCCTTTTGTTGTAATGTACTAAGCTGATTTTGCAGTCCTTGCAATATTTTGCCAAGGCCTTTTATCAGATCTTGTTTGATTTTTTTTTTTTTTCTCAAATTCTTGATCTAGTCACTCGAATTTGATACGTTCCATAAAATGGATTTGTGAAAGCATTGTGATGGTTGGATCTTCTTTGTTCTGAAACCAATTGATGCTTGATCTAGTCACTCGAATTTGATACGTTCCATAAAATGGATTTGTGAAAGCATTGTGATGGTTGGATCTTCTTTGTTCTGAAACCAACTGATGCAGGAAAAAATAAATAATTAAAAATAAAAAATAAATTAAAAGGTTGAAAGAATATACACTCTTTCTGGTTTGCAAGGAGTCCACTCCAAATATCTTTTCAAAAAATCAAACTACTTTATTTATTCTCAAATAGCCTAGTTGCATAAAAGGGAGACACTCTTTAAATTCAATTTAAATAAAACTAATAAAAATATACACGTACTGTGCTGCCCGGGGGTTCTGCTTGGAAAGACTTCTTGGCAGTTGCAGGCCTGTGTCTCGGGCCCCCTTCTGTCTGTTGTGAAATTTGGATGAAAAAGAAAAGCATTGTTTCAATAGATAGCTGCAATGCCTGCGTTGTTGACCATAATACTTAAGAAAACTACAAAAAAACTAAAAAAAACTACAAAGGAAAACTCTCTCTCTCTATCTCCCACATTGCTCTCTCTCTCTCTTACGTAATTCTCCCTAATTTAAATTTCTTTAAAGTAAGAATCCCTATCTTTTAAAATTTTAAGATATCTTAACCAACACAACCATAGTAATTCCTATCATTAATGCTTAAAATAAACTTCCCATTCTACCATTGAAATCTATACAACCATAAAAGATAAATAGAACCTTAAACCTAAAAAATAATAAATGAGATATGTTAATATGACATTTATACTTATAAATTCTTAAAAGTAAAAGGAAATTTATATAATGAGACCATTTATTTTATATACAAGAAGGTCGCAGTTATTATTGATCGTTGGATGTGAAATCGGGTGATTGAAGGTATGTTATTAATTGGGCACAAAGTCCAAAATTAATTTTTTCGAATGTTGTGACACCTGTCAGTATATTGGATTTCACATTCAATGGCTAAAAATGATTGTGACCTCTTTATACTAAAGCTAAATAGTCTTATGGTATACAATCCCAAAACAAAATCTGTGACGTTGAAGTTTGACTTATGCTTAGCTTATTTATGAATTGACTAATAACTTTTGGGTTGTTTTTGCTTTCATTATTAATTTGTTTATAGTTTTATTTGCCTTGTTTATGGGTTAGGAAAATTTTTTGTACAAAGAAGTTACAGTGACTTTTGACTGTTAGATTTGAAATAGAATGGCTGAGAGTGTATAATTGATCAATCTTAAAGTTCAAAGAAAACATTTTAACTTTGACGACATACTTTAACCTGTTTGATTTGACACTGGATGACTAGCATTCGTAGTAACCTCCTATCGCAAAGATTAATAGTTTTATGTATACAATCCCTGTACTTAAACATATGACCCTTGGCCCCTATAATCAGGCCAAGGTCGACGTAATTTAAGCTCTAATCAAACACCAACTCATCTTCACATGCAAACTGCAACCTAAGCTCGAACATGTCTTGCCTTGGGCTAAGATCGGCTATAGCTTGTTACCACCATGAAGGGAGAGTCGAATGTGCAATTGAACAGATGACATGTTTGATGGGACCGACTAATCCCACGTATATTATTTTCAACATGATGATATACATCATTAATTTGTGGATTTCCAAATTGGATATATCTACTATATTATTAAGCCAGAGTTAAAAGGTAGACACATATTGTAAAAATAAAAAGAGGCCTAATTCTACTAGAAATTATAGGACACATTTTTCATTATAGCGGAAGAGTGAGAGAGAGAGAGTACATGAGTATGAATAAGAGAGAGATCTTAACACTGTTTCTATATATCTCCACATTGTTTCAATATCTTAATTTGAGAGAGAGAGAATATGAATACACTCAAGAGAGAGATCTCAATGTTGTTTCCATAAGTCCACAATGTTTCTGTATCTTAATGAGAGAGAGAGAGAAATTGTTTCAATATTTTAATGCCAAAGAGAGAGTATGCACAAGATTGTTTCACTATTTTAATAAGAAAAAGAGAACAGCCACAAGAAAGAGAGAGAGAGAGAAATATTTAAAGAGATATGAGAAATTTTCATGAAAGCTTCAAGAAATATGAGAATTTTTTCTATCCCACCCTTTCTTAAAAAAGAGAATCTCCTAAAACAAGATTCTAGGAAGAGAAGAGAGGGATTTTTTAAAAATAGGAGCAGTTTTTTTATACTACCCTTCTTAAAATTTGTGCGTGAAGGGTAGAGCAAAAGAGAATCTCCCAAAATAAGATTTTAGGGGAGAGAGATTGTTTCCGTATTTTAATTTGAGAAATAAGATTTTTTTTTTTTATCACTTTTTTAAAATTTGTGGGTGCAAGTCAACCATTTTATTTTATTTTTTTTATTTTTTCATATCTATTTTTTTGATCTCACACTTTCCTGGAATTTTTTTAGGAATCTATGCGCACAAATACCTCGTATGGTGGGCAATAAAAATCTTGGTGTTCGGGTAGAACCAGAGGTGCTTTTTTGAATATTGGATTCATATAACCCATGTCAAACTACTACATAAAGTGCCTTTTTTGGGTAACCTCCCTCCATAATTTATTTGAGTCTTCACGGAAAGAAATCCATTCTTTTATTTCTTTCTAATTTTTGGTTGAGTAAATCACAAATGCAGTCATGTATTTATCGCACCGAGAGTGCTCTTGGGTGTTGAACCTGTAGTTAGCTTCTTATTTATATTTGATTAGGACACTTTCATGTTCTATATAAATATGACTCAGCTTGAGTTTGTCTCAACTCTAATTGGTTTCTTTCTCTATTGATGATAGATAGCAAGTTGGGAAATAATAAAATATCCGTCCACTAAAATATCAGTAATAAATTGGTTTTATTTTAAAAAGTTGGAGGAAAAAATCGGGTTAAAAATATGGATAGCCAAAAAATACGGTAAGTTATAGATTCATGAATAATTCGGATTTAGTTCCAAAAAGCGTTTTGAAAAAATTGGATACATAAAGATGACACGATATAAGATTATGATTTGCAACTATTATATAGATATATTAAAACTATTAAACAATAATTTTATAGCCTTACTATTGTCATTAGAGTAATACTTGGCAATTTTTTTGTTGAAACTGTCAATAAATCTAAAAACAATGCTTACGTTGTTGTTACAACAACGAACATATCTTATTGGGAGCATAAAATGAAACAACAACAAATACTAAACACAAGAAATAATTAGAAAATAACAAGAATTGTGATCCAAGGTATAGGATTACCTTTCAAAGAAAATAAAAAATGTCCCCAATATAGGATTGGGGTTAATTAAAAGAAAACACAAAGACCCAAATATGTAAAATAGTGGTCTATCCAAAATGCTATGTTTTATACACCAATGAAATAAAAAATAAAAATAAAATATGAAATTAATCAAAATTTTCCTTGAATAAAAAACATAACAAAATGCTTAAGAAAATTCGAATATCGCACTAAATTCCTAAGAATATAAATATTTACTATTATTGAATATATTTCTTGCTCTTTACAAGGACACCATGGGTATAAAGAAGGAAAATTTTTCTTTTCATTGGATTGCTCTTCCTCTAATTCTTCCTATTATTTTGAGATATAAGATTGTTTTGATTTTTATTGGGGAATATATTGCTTGTATTGTTTGCATTGTTGAATAATTTTTTAATTTACTCCCAATATTAATGTACGTATCTTAAAACCAAAAATCAATAATAAGACATTAATGAAGAAATAAAGCTACAAGGTAGTTGTTTTTTTTTTAAAAAAAAATATCGGCTCCATTGAAAAAATGTGATTTTTTTAAATATTTTTTGAAAAATTCGGAAATCTAAACGGATTTCAAAAAATCTCCTTAAACGGAGACTCGCTAATTATGATATTGACTTCATTCCCAGTCTTTGAGGCTTTCAAACCGTTTGTCTTGTTTATCGATTCAACCCAATATATCAATAGATGTGCTAGCCAATAAGCATCATTTGCTAGACAAGGGTCCTTGTTGAGAAACCATTTTCCCATGATTTAGAGTCATCAATAGCACGCACCAGGACACTAAAGCGTACTTATAGGAGCGAATCTTCAAATAGAAATACTTTTCGGAATGGTGGCCATGGTTTATACATGCTACACACACATATGGATGCATGTATCAATGCAATATGAGCATGTATGCATATTGCACATGTTTATGCATGTATGCATACATATATTTGTATGTATAATGTCCACGATGCCCTCGACTGATAGCATTGGTGTCTATGGGTAGGATCATGCACGTGTATAATACGCACCGTTAGCCAAGAAAAAAAAAACCTAGGTTGGGATAGGTTATCTTATAAAGGGATTTTCCCATTTACAATGGATTGAGTAAAAGCAGTAGTTTGCAATTGAGATTGATACCTGCAATAAAGGAAAAAGCAGCTCGAGATACGTTTGATCCCGCCAGGGCAGCTTGCATGGACGTGTATGTCTGAATGCCTTTATTCTTGCATGCGAGTGTTTGTGTTTAGGTATGTCCCCATGAGAGATAATGCATGAGACACACATACCCACTATCTGAAGGGCTATATGGGTTTATTCTTAGATATCTAAAATTTCTTATGTATTTATTCTTAAATATTTAAAAGTTAGTATGTATTATTTATTGTTTCTCAGTATTATTTCTTTCTTTTTTTTCTTACTTAGGGACTTTATCTTTGTTTTTGTTGAGAACCATATAGATCGTGATTAAAGCAATGGAATTCCAAACAAATATTGCTGCTTCTCTATGGAATTGACCACTATTTTCGAAAGGAACTGGTGGAGAACTTATATTTATATTAAGAATGTATAGGGATTAACACATGCTACAAGAATAAGAAAGAACCCTAATGCTTTAGAGATTATAAGATAGTTGATTTATTATATAGGTCAGAATAATGTATAGGGTACGCACATGTCATAAGAATAAGAAAATACCCTAATACTTTAAAGATTATAAGATGGTCGACTTATTATGTAGGCCAGAATAAGAAGGGATCCTAACACCCTAGAGATTATAAGATATTTAATTTATTAATAGGTCACATTCCCCATCTATAGGGGAGAGAGAGACATATTTTGAGGGAAGATAGAAAGACTAGGAGAGGATATTGATTGAGAGAGAGAACACATAAAGAGGAAATTGAGAGAAAGAGAGATATGGAAACAAAATCAATGAGATAGATTGGCTTCCATCTTCATTCTCCATTTTTAGGGAGGGAGGTAGAAAACCCCTTTTTAGGAAATTGACATGTTTAAGAAAGGAAAGTGAGAGAGGGGGAAGAGAGATGTGTGTAGAGATAGTAACAAGGAAAGCCAAAATTACAGAGAAATACAATCAATTAAAAGTTAAGTAAATATATTTTTGTAGACAAGGTGGAGATTACATGATATATAGAGATACTAATTAAGAGGCGTGAGAGAAT